TTGTGACGCAATTGGTAGACTTGATGAATTGTGCCAACAAGATTGCGCTACTGAAGAAACAGAACATAATGATGTCGTAAGAGTACTTGGGGTTTTAACAACAAGGGGTGGAATGCGTTGGATGAAGTACATTAACGATGGGTTGTTCGAAGATTCATGCCATTGAGCCTCGAGGCAGCACAGTGCCATTGCAGATTTCCTTCAACACTCCGGAACAGTCATTGTCCATCAGTGAATCCCATGTCGATTCTCAATCCTTCAAATTTCAAAATGCGATGTAGACTTATTGCCAAAGTTACCATGCAAGATTGATGTGTCCTATACCACTTGAAGGATTTCGAAAATGCCTCGTGAATATTTGGTTGTAGGCGCGTTGCCAAATTGGCAGACGCCATGGTGCAGCCTGGAGCATGTCGTCGGAACGCGTGTTGGCACCGCGTGACACGTGTTTTGCGCCAACTCCAAGTTATCATGTAATTCACTCCGAAACGCTGCCGTTTGGGGCTTTAATCGAGTCACAGGAATCAATTCCTCGATGGTTTCGGTTGTAAATTGCGTCTAGATCATGTATTCGCGTCAGCGTTCAAGAACCTTGGAAAATCAGCTGATTTTTGCGATGTCCTGATCACCCCGACAAACTTGTTTTTCTATCGCTGAATCGTGATTCTTTTCTACATTCGGTTGAGTGGTTTAATGGACATTTCTATTTTAAAGTTTTTAAATATGTGGTCCGTTACCAAAGGACACTTTTATGGAGGAGACGTTTACTCAAACAAATTAGTCAGTGCATTTATCCTGATCTTACTTGCCATTGGTTACTCCTGATTAATCGATTATCGTCCAACATTGGTTAAAGTAACTCGATGAAATGGTGATGCGGGAAAAACTTGGCTCATCGGTTTCTGTTGAGGTAGATGGCATGAAACACCTTAGCCTAGTTAGTGTTTGGTTTAGTGGACGTTGCCTTTTTTCATTACCTTGGATCACGAAACTAATAATTTAAGCTCGTCATTTGCATTCGTTTTCGAACCAGCCAATAATTTTATGCAGACGCCTTAATTCTTCTTGTCACTTTCAGGCCAATCTACTACAGCGTCTTCGGGAAGGAATTGAAAAGGTGGTTTTCTGTTTCACAAAACGCACTTATTTCGCCTCCCTATCCTACACAACAACGATTAATTCTAGCACGATAATTGCACTTCCTTGCGATTGTGTAATTGTATCAAAAATCGATATCTGATTGCACCGACAAACATTTAAGCGACTTGGCGACTTGACGCACGAGGACAAATGCTCCTTTCGTGCTACGGGGATCTGGAGCTGACGGTTGTCCCGATTCGCATCATCGATCAGTTCAACTAGCTGAAACAAGTAGTCTTTAACTGAGAAAACACCCAATCGTATTTCACGTCCCTCCTGACCGCTTCGGCGAAGCCTCTCATATCGGATCTGTTGTATTTTTTGGCGATCTCCTGGAATGCTATAAAGTGCTGTTTTCTGCCCACGTTGATGCTATTTCAGGAGATTTTGACTTGCCTTTAGAGGTGACAGGGGGGTTTGTTCTAGATCGCGCTCTTTTTGCATTGTAGACCACCGATAACCTGCCCCCTAATCATCGACCAGAAGCGCCACTGAAATACCGCGCCTATCCAACCTACGACTACTCCAAGGCTGATGCCAAAGCGAAAGAACTCTGCGGTTTCTTTTGGAAAACTGGCGCCTGTCGCTACGGTGACAGGTGAGGCGGCAACTTTGATGTGTTTTTGCTTAGTGTGCTCTGCGATAGTGAAAATTTTTAACCCTTTTTTATTATCTACTCGAAATCGGGAGACACACCCACGTTGTTTTTTTCGACTTTCATTTGGCAAGAGTCTGCACTTTTCAAATCGCTAAAAAAAATTCCTCTTATAATTTCCAAGCACTAAAATGTTGACTTGTAGATCCCGGGGTTTTACTTGCTTTCCGAAGCTGTGTTCACGTGTTATTTATTTTGTGGGGTTCTTTGGTCATTTATGATACCACGGCGAGATTGAAAGTCGCTCAAAATCTCAGTATTGTTGCAATCTCCTTTCTTGCACTTCTAAACGAAGGAAGTCTGTGGTTAGAGCAGCGTTTAGTCGTGATAATCCCCATTATTTTCGAGAATTTGTGCTTAGATCGTCGAAATTCTTCAAACAACTCCCTTGCATGAGGTAATATGTGTGTCTAATGTTGGTCCAAATGCCGTGCTTTCACAACCGAGGTAGTTGGAGCATCCAGTAACCACATTCAGGCCCTTCCATCGTCTTCCAGGTGCTCCCGATTCCACCCGCTTCCTCCACTCGACGCCGCCGACCTCAAGGTCCTGGAAGAGCCGAGCGGCGGTCGAGCCTGCCTTGTGCTTGTGCTGGAGAACATGTTCGTCAATTTCTCCCTTCAGAGCGGCTATCGTGGAGGGGGTGAGTGCTTCCAACCCCTCTTTTACCCTCTTTCATCCCTTTTGGGGAAGTTCTAAGCCTTCAGGTAGCAAAACTAAAGTGTCTGCACGCGATTCGTTGCATTTGGGCGCTAGTTTTCACTCATAACAGCCTCATTAGTCAATATTTCGCACCAAAGGTGAGCAGCCTTAGGAAGCACAAGCGAAATTGTTGGTGATGGGTGGAGTTTGTCTAGTTACAATCACAGATTTTCAGGTCATAATGGGTGGCGCCATGCATTGCGCATCGACCTGCCACACCCTCTTAACAGCCTCTGTATAAAAGCGGAGCCACGCCAGATTTTTGTGGCGATGTCAACGCAAGAGGTGAGTCCTTGTCTTATCATCTTGATGCACCTTTACGGTTTGTTTGGCAAATGGTATAAAGGCATTTATAACGCATAAAAGGTTATTTGTTCACATGTAAGCTGCTTCTAGTGGCATGGAATGCCAATACAGCTAGCTTTGTGCCTTGCATTAACGTGATCAGGGTACGGCGGCAGGACATTATTGGCGCGGGTGATAGACTGCTTATCTAATCGTGTCCATTCCGGTCAGTCGTCGTATTTGGCACGGTGGTTGGCTGTCAGTGTAACTGTCGTGTAACTTCACATCTTTTAGTGAAGTCAGTAGTTTCCGATCATGTATTTTCCGGGCTAAACCTGATTGCTTTTATTAATTAAGATTAATGCGCTTTGTTGAGGCAGAAGCGGCTACTTTCAGCCTATGGGCCATTAGCGCATTCACTGTGTCAGTGTTGTTCTGTGTGTGTGTGAGCGGAAACATATCTACTCTAGTTTTGCCACCCTACCCCCATTCTAAGGCACTGATTGGCTGGTCGTTTGTTGGTGCGTAGCTATCTCCCACTAAAGATCGATATCTCGCAGATCTCGTGTTTCACATCACCGTCTAAACCAGAGGGCGAATTAATGCACCTGACGACAAACTACGACAAAGGAGAATATGGTGAGTAGCACTCAGTCTAGGCTGTTTAGCCTGCAACATGACAAAATTGTCCACAAGTTTCCGATAGTCCAAGGCCCAACAACAGCCTCCAGGTCGCCGAGGCAATTCGGCAGGTCTCCTTATCTTTGTAGACGAGGCACTCGAGGTTGATGAAGGCCTGCTTCAGGCGGATTACCACAAGTTCTACGTGGACGTGCGCTCCGAAATCGAGGCCCGCTACGGTCGCGTTGTCGGTTTGCGCTGCTGTAGAAACACCGTTGACCACTTGAGAGGCAATGTGTACGTTCAGTTCGCCGAAGAGTCCGTCACAACAGCGGCTCTGGAGGGCTGCCAAGGACGCTGGTACGCAGGACGCCAGATCGTTGGCCGACTGGCCTACCTCGGTGGCGGGTGGAAGGCGGCGACGTGTGGTGAGTACACTACTGGCATTCTTGTAGTGGACACGATCCTGGTGTTGTGCCACTGAACAGCTTGTGGTGTTTTGCGTTGTTTCTACCTCATAGAACTATGCTCACGACGTCACGTCTCTCTGTAGGCCTTCACTTCCGAGAGAGATGCCCAAAGGGCAATTCGGGTTGCAACTTTCTGCATTTCTTCCTCAACCCTGACGAAACCGGCCCTGACGTCCTGGCAGCACTCCACCAGGGACTTCCAGAACTTCCTCCAGTTCCCTCGCGTTCTCGGAGAAGGTTTTCTGGCGATTTTTTTAACCTTTTTGTCGGATTATTTTACCAGAGACGCTTAGGGTTCTAAAAACGCAGGTGGTGCTTTGTTGTTGTTGTTGTTGTTGAGGTAGAGGTTTGGTTTCAGCAACCGGCGGTGTTAACAATCTGCACCACCTTGTAGACACCATCGGAGGCGGAGAAGCCGTGACCACGAAGACCGCAGACGTCGACATCGATCTTCCAGAAGTAGTTCAAGCGGAAGTCAACGACGACGTCGGCGACGAAGACGAGAGGCTCATCGGAGGAGGCACAGAAAGGAGTCATTCTCTTCGTCCAACTCACCACCACCATCCTCCCAGTCAGATCAATAACTTCCTACTCTATAAATACATGATTTTGCCCCACAAACCTACATTATTTCTGATTTCGCTTCACTCACAATCCGCTTTAATCCCCATCGCTTGTGCTAATGCGGCAAGATTTTGCAAATAATCAGAGAAATTTTTGACACAGCGCTGCCTCACGAATCTAGACTTAGAATACGCCCAAGTACCACAGATGTTTTTGTATTCGCGTCCTTAGAAGCATCATAGGGGGCAAACCGAAGGGGCTTTGTGAGGGGAACTCACCGGGTTCAACAACTCTCCTTGTGCTAGACTGTGATAGACACGCGTCAGTAAAGTGATTCGAGATTGTTTACAGATGTACCAAATGGCTTATTTCTCTACTTGCAGCCAATACCTGTGAGGCATGTCGAACATACGCCCAGCTGAACGCGTCCTCAACCAGAAACCGAGTGTCTGGCTAGAAGTGAATGGCGCCATCGCCAAACACAAGCCTCTCAACTTGGGCCAGGGTTTCCCCGATTTCATATGCACCAATCGCGTGCTAAAGAACCTTCGCCGTGCCGCCCGTGACGACGTGTCACCCTTCCTGCACCAGTACACCAGAGCCACCGTTAGTTTGTGACAAATAACGCTTGCTTGAATGCACATTATGTAATGGGGGGGTTATACGTGGGGTAATTGCTCTTCATAGGGACACCTTCGTCTGGTGAATGCCCTGGCCAAGCTCTTCAACGAACGCTTCCGTCACAACCCAAGTGTGTCTGGTGAAATCCCGGAGAATCTGCGAGAGGGCACCTTCGGCCCCAGACGATCCATTAATCCACTGACTGAGATAATCACATCTGTTGGCGGCTACGGCGCCTTGTGGACGATATTCTTTGCACTCATCAACCCCGGCGATGAGGTTCTCGTGATTGAGCCCGCTTTCGATTGCTACGCACCCCAAATAGAGGCAGCAGGTGGCGTCTACGTGTGTGTTCCACTAAATCCGCCCAAGGTTAGTGAGTCCTAGCCAAGTCTACTGCACTGCTCAAGTAACCGCGCAATCACCGCCCACTCTACCCCGACTTTGTAGAATGCGGAGGGCCGTGTCGATAGTAGCGAATTCACGGTAGACTGGGAGGAGCTCGAGTCGAAAATCACGAAGAAGACCAAGATGCTGTTGGTGAACACTCCCAGCAACCCAGTGGGGAAGGTATTTACCAAAGAGGAGATCAAGAAAGTCGCCGACATCTGCATTCGCCACAACCTCATCTGCTTAGCTGACGAAGTCTACGAGTGGCTCGTGTTTCCACCTCACAAACACTACAAGATTGGTGCGTTGCTATGTTATTTTGACCTGTAATCAGCCACTATTGGCAGTTGACTTCGACTGCTCTCATAGACCAATATGACTAGTTCTTTATCACCTATTGGCTATAACCACGCCATTCTCAGATGAGTTTATGAACCTTGATTGGCTTCCTATATTTCCTGAACACAATAAACTAGATAAGGACGACGTTTTCACCAATTGTAGCCTCTTTCCCTGGCATGTGGGAACGCACGATAACCATCGGCAGTGCCGGAAAGGCGTTCGGTGTGACGGGTTGGAAGATCGGGTGGACGATTGGACCGGAGCCATTCATCAATGCGATGCAGCTGATTCAGCAGAACACCATCTACACGGTGTGCACGCCTCTTCAGGAGGCCCTCGCCCAGACCATTGAGGAGATCCTTCCCGACGTGAACACCAAGGACTGCTTCTTCCGCAAACTGTCTCTTGAGCTGGCAGGGAAGCGAGACCGCATTGCGAACGCCCTCACGTCAGTCGGAATGTGTCCAATCATCCCACAGGCCGGCTTCTTCATGCTTGCCAACATCTCGAATGTCAGTACGTTTACCACACATGCATACGCAATCCCAACCAATCAGATTGCAGTTCTAGTTCTGCTTCACCACTCGAATCACCCAATCATGTCACTGCTTTCGCTGTTCCGCCTTTAGAGGGACCGAAGAGAGAGAAGGACGACAAGCGGCCCTACGACGTCGTGTTCAACGAATGGATGATGATCAACAAGGGCATCGCCGGCGTCCCACCGACTGCCTTCTTGTGCAATAAGCATAGATCCCTAGGAGAGGACTACCTTCGTTTCTGCATCATCAAAGACGACTCCACAATCGACAAAGTGGAGGAGTGCCTCAAGAAGTGGTGAACGCCAACTGCTGTGATTACAAAACGCTTCGACTTAATGGAACTTTGTTATGCGTCTTTAACCTATAGTAAAACTGTATTCCCTAGTGTAATATTTTGAAAAGAATGAAGACTTTAACAAGTACAAAATGATGGATTTTGGCGGTCATGTGGGGATTACCAGTTTCGGAGAATGCTGATGGCCTTTTCGAGGGTTTTCTCATCCTACCAAAAGAAAAGATCGATAATTAGGGGGCACAAAGCACGCTGGGCGCCTGGGCGGACAGACAGGGACTTGCCTTGATTACGCAAAAACGCAGAAACTTCTCGCCGATTTGTCGGTTCGCCGGACAGTAGAAAACGCTTGTCGGTATAGCGCTGAGTTTCTTGGGGGATTAAAACATGATGACACGTTAACGCAAACTTAAGCCTCTCCTACTCACGCTTGTGTGTGATTGGTGAGAACCGACTAGAGAATTAGCTTACACCCAGTTGTGAAATTCGCCTTAACCGGTGGTCTTGCACTCCAAATAGGACAAAGACATCGAAAAGAAGTGTACCTTGTTCTCCATCATCCACTCGTTGAACAACTCGTCTCTGGGTTTGCCCTCGGAATGTGCTGCAGCAGTCATGGGAAAGGCTGAAATCGAAGAGACGACATAATTTGTAGGCACAAATCTCCAAATAACTGACTTGACTGCGTTTTCCTCCGCACGAAAATCACGTCTCGAAGTAATTAGAATCACAGTGCTACATATAAGCTGTAAGTAGCACACCCTTCACAGATTAGGCGTGTCCCACACGCACAGGACCTCAAACAACGCTCGGCACAGTTGCCAACACGAGGACCAGTGTCGAGCCCAGACGACACTGAGTGAACTGACGACAATGATTTCAAGCGCAACTAACTTACGGATCTTCTCAATATTCGCCATCAGGAAGTAACCGCCTTGCGGCAAAATGGGCTGCATTCCAACACTTTCCAGGCCATGTGCAAGCACCTCAGTTTTTTTGGCGACATCTCGAGTAATCTCGTAGAAGTACGACTGTGGCGTGTGCAACAGGGGCAATTCTACCTCCAGGGAGGTCGCAAGGGCTTCCTGCATGGGCGTCGGACAGGCCTCGACGGTGGTCGCCTGGATTGTCGCCATGGCCGAGATGAGCGTCTCCGGCCCGATTGTCCACCCAATCTTCCATCCCGTCACGTTAAAGGTCTTTCCAGCGCTGCCAATTGTCAGCGTTCGCTCCCACATTCCAGGCAGTGAAGCTAACAGTAGATACAACAGCGGCAAAATGTCACTCCACAGTTTTGTCCAATCAGCTGTTAGGAAGTACGTTAAATTACCGCGAATACACACGCACCGATTTTGATGTGCACGCTCGGCGGAAACACAATCCATTCGTAGACTTCGTCGGAGAAACAAACGATGTTGTGGCGAATGCAGATGTCAGCAAGCTTCTCCAACTCCGCCAGACTAAACACCTATCAAAGTTATCGTTTTCGTTGGTTAGAGATGGATGGTGGAGAAGGATTGAGATTCAGCCATGGCGGCGGGATTGCATACCTTTCCCAGTGGGTTATTTGGTGTGTTCAAGACCAGAACCTTGGTCTTCGAGGTCACCTTTGACTCCAGTTCATCGAAGTCGAGAATCCAGTCACTGGCCGAACACGAACCTTCGACAGACTGCAAGAGAATTTGCAAATTAAGTCAATTGCGATGGATCTGCAAGGAAACCAAACAAGGCCTAATAAAGACCATGGAACAAGAAGCCGGCAGGTACCTTCGGCGGACGCAGAGGGACGTACACCGGCCTCCCACCGACTGCCAAAGTCATCGGGGTGTAGCAGTCGAAGGCGGGCTCAATGATGATGACCTCGTCGCCCGGGTTGACGACGGCAAAGAAGGCGGCACAAAGGGCGCCATAGGCACCAGGGGAGATGATAATCTCCCTTTCAGCATCAATAACACGCTCCGGACCGACGAAGGTGCCGGAGAGGAGGTCTGGAGAGCAGGGTCCGCTAACCGAGGGGTCGTGACGGGTCAGGGGGGTGTAGATTCTGGAAAGTGCGTTCACCAAACGGGGATGACCCTGTGGTGGAAAAGAGTTATCAGCCGCCAGATAACGCTAGAGCCGTAGATGTATGCGAATAAGATCATAGGGTTAATTGAATAGAAAAAAAACACGAAATTAATCGAGAGATCCTGGCTCAAGTACCTGACAGCGGGTGAGCATGTGAAGAGACGGGTCGCAGGCATCATCGGTTGCCTTGGCAAGGCTCTCCAGAACGTGACCGGTTGGCAGAAAGTCAGGAAACCCCTGTGAAAGCAAAAGGGACTTATCAATTAAGGGGACTCATCAATATAAAAATGGAATAAGAGTAGTTTGTGCACCTTACCTGTCCGAGATTGAGTGGCTTGTGCTTTGCAATGAGTTCGTTGATTGACACCCTAAACAAAACACGAGCCAGTAAGTTACTAGCCCGAGAAAAAGCGGCTACCAGAACATATGCAGGGAACAGGTCCACACAGACAACATCTCAAGCACGTGCTCAAATCGGTAGACATTAACTCAGAGCGACAATACAACTAAGAATGGTACTGAAGATTGGCTTGACCAATGTGAACAGAGAGTGACATGACCAGAAGAGAGCATGGACTATTGATTGCACCATCGAAACAGGTGGCACCAAGGGGTCAAAACATAATGTTTTCTCTGATAAAACGGAAAAACCATTCGAAGGTGGAGGCTGGGGTGAGAAAATACCGGGGGAACGACACTAAAAACAACGGCACACCAAATGCTAGGTTTCTGTCCGAGGGTCCGCTTCGCAGGTGGTACAGAGGTCACGGTGGTGAGGCTCATTCTCCGTGAGGAAGGCTGATCTATAAAGAGTACGTAGCATTATTAACACACGGGTTTTACTTGTGCTAAACCAAGAAATAGTATATGTTGGATTTCCTATCAGCCACAAACGTATTTGACAATTAAAACCCGGTGGATGAGAAGTTCGCCACTCATACACAAAATACAAATAATAATTTGCGTGAATGCGAACTCTCGGTACTATGACATTTTCGTCCAAGAAAACGCTGCATCACCCTAGGTAGCAGGTGCTGTTTCGGTTGGAATTACTGACAGCGACAAATCAACGGTCATAGAAAGAACCACAAAAGCAGGGCAATTATATATCACAGCCTTGAAAGCATTTTCGCACACTTCAGTGAAAGAGTATATTCTTATTCGCTGATTATCTTAAAATTATATTTTACAGGACGCTCATTAAAGATTCATGACATCATAAATAAGATTTGGATAATACAGGTAAGTAGAACAAAGTATTACCACAACTTCAAATTGTCGTACTTAAACAGCAGACATCGGCAAACATTTAAAACGATGTAGGATCGCGTAGTAACAAGCTATTCCATTCATTTGCAAAGAATAAAACGGTTGCGTTAGTTATCGGATGCCCAGAATACAATTTGCAATGTACACAAAAGGTCATCAGAAATTTTCCGTTCAGCACGGATAATTAAAAAGATTTACAACAGTCATCAGCAAGTCAATTTTATCTACTGTAATTAAACCAAGCGACGCGTTCTGCATACAATCACAAATACTGAAGTAATATTAACATAACGATGGGTGAAACATGAGAACCAAAGCAACTCAAAAAGGAACCAGATTTCACACCCTGTGTAAACAAACATTCGACGAAGCCATGCGGAGAAAGGTATTCTAATTTTCGAGGACCCTTAGTCTGTATTTTTTAAACTTGAAGGACTTTTTTGCCAACGTTTTTTTTCTGTAGCAATCATTTGTTTTAGCAAATTATCTTCACCTTAGCTGTTTTGTCATGCAGTCGCGACAATTTTTAATATTTTACTAATAATTTTTTTTAACTGTTTACTGTAATAATTGTTGATAATGCATGAGAGAATAGTTAGTTTTGTTTATCTGGGTAGGCATATTATATTAACTGACCTTTACTCAACACCGCGTTTTCAAGTTGTGCCACAAGTTACCCTACTCCGACCTCTTGCGTTTGTGTTTAGTTATTTAAGTTGTTACCTAAAAATCTTACCTTTGTCACGTTGGTGTGCTTAGGAGTCAGTTAGACAACATGATTGATACTCAATATCTTACAATTTCTGTCGCTGATCAGTCCACCCGTCCATGATCCAACCTGCTTGTGTAAACTGCGACTGCGTTACCTGGAATATATGTGACGAAGGAAGAGCTGATTACCAGAAGTTAAATGGTAAAGCCCTTCGACAGTCATGGCTGCAGTGCAGGGCCAATGTCCGACGTCACTGGTCGTCAACAGCTTCTCGTATTTCTAAGCGTCTCTCGTGAATCTTTGTCCCCGGGTGAAAATGCTGACCTTTTTAAAAACACGCAAGTGTGTGTTAAAAAGCAACACGGCTTGTGCATGATTATGTTGAAACATTGAACCTTGCAACACTTTCTGCTAAGCGATATTCGGTTATGCCCACCACATTTTGGCACTGTTTGTCATTCTAAATTAAATTAAGGCTGTAATGAGACCAGTGGTCCTTGGGAATCACTTCATTGACGTTTGCCAGAGTTAATATTATTTTGTCTTAAGATGCATGCGGCTGCTTGAAATATTCACCCTTGCGAAAGTAGACGTCCTCAGTGTTAGTGTCATCGTGGTTGATGGAGTTAACAAAGGGAGTTGCTACTTGCGTGCCACCGAACTGCTCACGACACGCACTAACGGTCTCGACTAGCTCAAACTTTAATTGTGGAAACCCTCATTCATGCCTGATTCCATGGCTGTGTTGTCGTTGCCTGAGAGACGCTCGACGGAACATCACCGTGGAGAGCCCTCACCTGGTCTGTGGCGACAGCAACCTCGGTCAGTGGACCCAACTTATCACAGCAGAACAAGCCCCCACCAGGTTCAACTTGCCGGTTGTATTTAGCAGAAGACCCTTTTTATTAGCTATGACGTGGTGGATATTAAAAAATATACACAATTTACGAATATCTAGCAAACTTAAAAAAAGTAGGGTTTTTTTAAAATTGCATTAAGATTAATTAGGTATGAAGAAACTTAATGTGTATTAATTTTAAACTTATTAAAATTTGATTCATTTTAATTTTCAGCTTTACATTATCCGGAAGATTCCTGGAATTTTCGACCAAACTGTCCTTTGTTAGATTCTTGTTTATTGGATTATCATTTGGGCGGTTTACATGCGTAGAACTCAACAAAATGTTCCAAAATGATTTCGCAAAGATCAACGTGGTCCTTGAAGACGTCAACACTGCTACTGTGCTCTACACAGAATGGTGAATCACCTGTTTGAAGGACAAATCACGTGCTTCTGGCAACAGCATAGACAGTCACGGAGTAGAAACACAAGGCAGCACAAACTGCGTTTGATCATTGCCTTCGTGATTGCCTGTAATGCTGTTTGAGTCATTAGTAGAGGCTCATGTTACTGCTAAAGACCCGTTTGGGCAAATTTTCTTGACTTCCGTGAATTTGAAAGTTTTAAACATAGCTGGATAGCCAGAATTTCCTGATGTGCTTGATGTTGACAAGTGTCTTTTCATCTGTACGGCAAAACTAATATGCTGGGTCATAAAACGCTTTTCCATGGCAATTTATGTGAATAATATTTGCAAATGAAGCACGACCAAGTTGCTTTATACATCCACACTGTTACCTCTTTTTCGATAAATTTTAAAATCCAAATTTCTCGATTGGTCTGTCAATTGAAACAGCAGGAGCTATTAAAACTGGCATCGTTAATTGGTCATTTGAAATTGAACCGACCCGCCCCATTAATGATTGTCTCATTGGAGTTTAGAATCTGGCTGCCAGTTATCCTTTCCTCGTAATGTCTATTTCTGCTGAATTGTAGTGTTAAAGCCCTTTCCAGAGCATGTTTTTCGACACCTCAAGAATATCCTTTTTCACTCAACACCAAATATGCACAATAAATTTGCCAGACGATTTTCCGTTGTTTAAAGGAATTATATACGATGCTTGTGCAGCTACATTTAAACATATGTTGTGTAATTCAGTTACATACACCAAAACTGACCACCTCTGCGACTATTAATTAAATCGGCTCAATGAACAAAGGTGCTGTACCTAAAATACTTTGCGTCAGGATCCGTCATTATTGAAGATTCAAATATTTTTGATGAATTTTGCCTAATTTAGACCATTAAATTTACACATATATAAAATTTCGTGCATTAGCAGGCTATATTGCAATAGGGCTAGAATCGAATGCTTACCTGCCCAAATTCAGTAGCATTTAGTGTTCGACATTTCCGATTGGCGGAAGCATGGAATCAAAAATTTCGTCGATCCGTCATTGCATTGTTTTCCCATTTGCTTTTAGACATTCAACCAGTGGAAATGTACACGGACCCACTAACCACGCATGTGTCCGCCTTAAAAGCGCAGACACAGGAACAGAGGTCGCAGAATTTGCTGCCTTTATGAACCACCGGACGGCAAAGAGGAGTCACAGTTGTCAACCATCGTGTAGTTAACAAGTGTGAGCAGGGAATTATTGAGAATCCTCGAGTGTCTGCCTACTTCACAAATTTTTATGCTTTTGCATACTGTAGTAATAATTTGATTGCAACAAACCTAGTTTATTTTTGCCAATTGTCTATATATTTAAATATTATATAGTATAAACTCGCTTGGTCGTGTACAGATAAAACATCTAGCAAGACGACAAACACCGGCCACAGCCGAATCCACCAAAGACGAAAAGCTGACGGTCAGTTGCGGCAGCTGCAAACTATTTGCGAGGCTGCCTCATTTGCGGTGCACTGGACACGCAACGATTGAAGGGGTTAATTGTGACAACTTCAGTGG